TTTATGTTTATATTCACAAGTGTAGTTCTAAAATATTTATTTACAATTATCGAAACATTTATTAACATCCATAATTAATCCTTTAATTATCTCTTTTCTTATTAATAATTTATTACCATAGTATTATTTTAATTCTTTAATAATTTCAAATTTCATGTTTTTCATAAGCATTTTCGTTTAGGTAATTTCATTGCAAGATACTTTACAATTCTTTATTATTATTCTTTTATTCACCACGAAAATTTTGTCGACTCAACCCCTTCTAGGGGAGTGGTGACAGAAGTGGGCCTCGAGCCCTGGGAAAAGCACGTGGCTGGATGTATGCTCGCTCGAAGAAGCAACGCCTAGAGAAATATATATCGTCCGTACGATAGAGGGACTCGTTGCTAATTGAAGTGTCTAGCTGATCCGTCTCCTCTCTAAGAAGGTTGTCGTCCAGGAAAACGTCATACGTGTCTCTAAGCATGTCTGTGGAGAAGATTCAGTCTCCATATCGGAAAAACGGATGGTGAAGTGCAAGTGATTAGTCTTAACGGCAGACTGGAGCATATCCCTAGGGAAGAAGCCCATTTTTTGGATATTTTTTGTTGTTATTTTATGTGATTTTCATGTGATTAATTTGTGCTTGTTTTAGTTTATTTGAGGTTTTTCTCGGTTCATTTTGTCATTTTTTATCGTTTATTTGTTTTCAGTCATTTTTGCTCGTTTACTTGAAGTCATTTCATTTTTTCAACAAACCTGCAATAATTTGTTTACCTCTATTACATAATTCAGGATCCACCCATTTATAAAAGCCATAATACCCAACATATTGCAATTTATTTTAATAATAATAGCAATAAAACTTTTAAAAAAATCATGTTAGATTGATCTTCAAATCTTAAAAATATTACCCCATATTATTTAGGGCAAATTAACTCAATATGTTCTTCGCGGATTATGTGGAGTCCAAGAAGCCTTCGAGAAACTTTGATCTCGCAATGATAGTAGGGTTCAACATTTTATGCTCTAAGAAATTGTGAATTCCAACTCTCAATTGAAGACATCAACTCATTTTTTTTCAAGTCTCTAAATCGACTTTTTGGCTAAAGGTCGAGTTCTCCTACCAACACAAACGAAGAATGAAACTTTCTCCTTTTATACTAAGATTTCATGGGTTGTACAGACCAACGGAAAACATTAGTATTGATTGATGACAAGCCAAACATAGGGTATGTAACGTGATTAAGTGAATAGATGAAGCGAAAGTGAAAAAAGAAGATAGTTAGAGTACCAAAACGTCATTTTTCATAAAAAAAAGAATAATAAGATAATTAGAGCTCATATTTTCAACAAAAGCACGAATCACCAGATATAGCAAACAATAGAAAATAGAGAGATGAAAGAAAAAATAGAAAGAGAAACCTGTGTAAGAGAAGATTTGCGAAATAAATTCTGTCAAATAGTTACGCTGATTGTAAGCTAGGTAATTTTTCCAAATAGTTATACACAATCGATCAAATACTAAAAATAAAAAATAGTTATGGTGTGCT